GGTTTCATGTGCACCCTGATATTTGCTTCATCTGTCTCCAGCCGTTTATCTCTCGGGAGGACAGAACCTCGGATCGGTACTCACTTTGTATCAGTGATATGTCTCAGTCATACACACTCAACCTCTGAGAATGCCCCAGCCGCCAAGGCAGTCCAATTTTTCCTACCTTGGCTCATGCATGAGGTTGCCTGGTTACTGAGGTGCATTTCTTTCTTTTTTTTTTTTTCTGTGTTGCTTCTGCTGCCTCTGGAACAATAGTCTCGGACATACCTGCTGTTCCACGAGCAGCCAAGACAACCAAGCAGAGTAGGCCACCCAAAATCGGGTGGGACATGTCTCCCCCTCCGCTGGGGTCCCCATCCCACAGACGCAGAGTATCCCGGAGAGCCCCCAGATTGTGAGAATTGAACTCACCTGTCCAAAATCAAAGGATGGACAACAGAGATGTGGAGTGCAGCAGAAACAAGAGTTTAATGACGCAATCTTGCAAGATCAGGTGTCTGGTGGGCAGGCACACAGAAGCAGGAAGAACCAGCACTTTTATCCCTAGAACGCAGGAGGAGGAGTACTGCAGAAGTTACCGTCTTTCCCGTATGTCGCCTACGTGGCACATTTTGATTGGTTTACAGAATCATTTCAGTTGCACGTCCTATTTGCCGATTGGCTTACAGACTTATTCTGATTGGATCCTGCCAAAAGTTTAAACATGAAGCCCACCAAACTAAAAAGTCTGCAAAAAGGAAGCACGAAGCAGGAAGTGAATCAACAAAAGAGAACCACAAATCATTTAGACACCCTCTTGAGAACCCAAGAAAAGCTAGGCTCCAATTTGAAAATAAATCACCATTCTTATTTTTCACAGTTGCAAAATGTATCAGCGGTCCCTAACCTTTTCAGCATCAGGGACTGGTTTCATGGTAGACAATTTTTTCACGGATGGGGGTGGGGGAGTGGTTTTGGGATGATTCGAGCACTTTATATTTATTGTGTACTTTATTTCTATTATTATTACATTGCAGTATATAATGGAATAATTATACAACTCATCATAATGCAGAATAGGTGGGAGCTCTGAGCTTTCTTTCCCCCTCAATCCCATCTGGGGATGATGGGAGACAGTGACACTGAAGTGTGCTGCTTATATTCCCGTCTACTCTAATTCTGTTTTGGTTACTGTCACTGCAGAAAACCCAGCTTTACAAAGATAGAGTGTTGGAAAAAGGAAGCAGATTTTTCCAACAGGAGTTGGAGCTCAGGTGGTAATGTGAGCAATAGGGAGGGCTGTAAATATAGATGAAGCTTTGCTTACTTTCCTGCCGTTCGCCTCCTGTTGTGTGACCCAGTTCCTAACAGGTCATGGACTGGGAGTTGGGGACCTCTGGTATATATGATGGAATTGAATTTGTACTGACCTTAGGATTAGATCTGAGATATTTTTCATTGTTAAAATTCCTGGAATGAGTTTGTTTTCTAGGTAAAAATGAATGAGTTAAATATCTTGGTTAATGAAGGTTTGAAGTAGTGATGCTGTATTAAAAGTTGTATGTCATGCATTAAGCATATCATAGATAAGAAATTAACTAATTTTAAACTTTAAGAAACAGAAAAATGCAGAATTTCTCTAAGCATCCCAGTTTGAGTTTTTCAACTTCTGGTTAGTTTTCTAAGCATCTGTAGAATGGCTGTCAGCTGAGTTGGGAGATGGAGTTTCCCAGTGCTTAGCACCATATTGTAAACCAAGGAAAGGGTTACAAATTCCAACATGCTTAATTAGCAACGTATGTTTAAAAGAAGCAGTACTCATTCATAGTACTGCAAATATAAATTTAACATTTCACTTAACAATGAGTTGAATACCTATAGACTATATCTACAATGAATGTTACAGGAATCGATTGTTTGAAGGATGAAGAGAGTTGCTTTGTTGTCTCACCTCAGCTTATCCACCTCAGCTTATCTAAAACTGACTGATTGGAGAGTGTAGCTGATCTGTTTTAGGAAGTAGTGAGTCATCACTGCTTCCTCATCTTCCTTTTTTTGCTCAGGTGGATCTCATTTTATTCTCAAATTCTGAGCTGGTATTTATTTTTCTAATATCATCGGATAATTTCTGCAGTGTTTTGTTGCTGAAGTTGCAGAATCAGCAGCTGAATCAGATGTTACTGATCTAGGATGTCATGATATCCCAGATGTATAGTTTTCCCATCTTCCTCATAACTTCCCTCTTTTAGACTCCATACAGCAGTTTTCAAGTGCATTATTCTGTGTAAATGACTAGCACCCCTTTGAATCTAGCATTTAAATTTTTTACTGCCAAAAAATGTCTGTACCTTCTAGTCTGACTCAGCATTCTTTCTTTTCTTTCCCCTCCTTTCTCCTCCCTTCTTTTTCCCTCCCCTTTTCTGCCCAATTGTGATAATTGTGTAGTACCTCAGGCTTTCCAAGCCCAGCATTACATAGTCAGTAACTCTTTGCTATTCTGTGTAAACAGAATGCCATAACCACCCACATCATATGAGAGAAAGAATTAATCAGCTTGCCACTACAACTGTTCTTTGTTATGGGAGGTTCTTTTCTTTTTGTGAAGGCTTAGCACCCTCAAACCAGGTGCACAAAGGGACTAGTATTTGCTGAACATCTTAGTGCTTGTTTCCCTTTTAATAGGTTGATCAGACAGATAATCCAGAGTTCGAGACCAGCCTGGGCAACTTGGCGAGACCTTGTCTCTACAGTAAAAATTTAAAAAATTAGCCAGGTGTGGTGGTGCATGCCTATAGTTTCAGCTACCTGGAAGACTGAGGCAGAAGGCCTGAGCCCAGTGGGCAGAGGCTATGGTAGCCATGAGTGTGTCTCAGCACTCTAGCCTGAACAACAGAGTGAGATGCTGACTCAAAAAAAAAAAAAAATTCCTGGCCTGGGTGCATTGGCTCACACCTGTAATCCCAGCACTTTGGGAGCCTGGGGAAGGAGGATTGTTTGAGACCAGCCTGGGCAACATAGTGAGACCTCATCTCTACAAAAAAAATTACCCAGGCAGGGTGGCATGCACCTGTAGTCTCAGAAGGCTGAGGTGAAAGGATCACCTGAACCAAGGAGGTTGAGACCCTGGTGAGCCATGATTGTGCCACTGCACTCCAGCCTAGGTGACAGACTGAGAACCCACTCTAAAAAAAGAAAAAGAGCCTTACACAACCTTTCCAGTGTTACCTCCTAGACTTTGCTGCTATTGTGGTATATTTTACTTCCACATATGTTATAAACCCCCAAATACATAGTTGCTTTAAATTGTCAGTTTCTTTTAAATATTTACAGAAGAGCTTTTTACCCATGTAGTTACCGATTCTAGTTCTCTTCATTTTTTGTAGAGATTTAGATTTGTCTGGTACTTTTTTCCCCTTTTTTCCCCTTTTTATGAAGGACTGTTAACATCTTTTATAGCACATCTGCTAATAATTAATTGGTTCAGCCTTTGCTTATCTGAAAAGTATTTTGCCTTGATTTTTTAAAGGTATTTTGACTGGGAATAGAATTTTAGGTTAATATTTTTGGGTTAGTGGTAACTTTAAACATGTTACTGTTTCATCTTCTATCTTCCAGAATTTGGTAGACCCTTCTCATTTGCTGTGGTTTCTTCTTTTAATCTATTTGTTCTTCTTTTCATATATTTAAAATTTTTTTTTACTGTCATTTTAGTAAGGATTTAGCAGAAATGTGAATGGTTATTTAATCCATTGTGGTTAATTGGCAGTTGTGATTTCTGAAATTAGGTTTTTTTGCTGCTTTTCTTAATGACTCTCTTGCTTTACTAACAACCTACTGGAAAGCAAGTTGTCTTTAGGATAGAGTTTTTCCATTGTCATGTGATCATTTTCTTGGCAGTTATATATCAAAGTGGAAAGGCAGTGTTTGGGAGTGGTCTGCCCTAGTATAAAGGCATTATTCTTTATGAGGTAATAGGTAATAGGAGATATGATTTTTATAGATAATTTAAATTTATCTGCTCTTTAATATTCCTCTCCTTTAGGGAAGTAGACTGCTTTCACTTTCTTCTTCTGGTGTGCCGCTGCTCTTAGTTGAGATCATAGTATATTATTCTGTGTTAAAAAACAAAACAAAAACTAGTTATCAGAGTGAAGAGTAGAGAAAGTTTCTTGACAGGGCACGGTTGCTCACACCTGCAACACCAGTGCTTTGGGAGGCTGGGGCACAGGAGGATCATTTTAGGCCAGGAGTTCATAACCAATCTGGGCAACAAAGCAAGATACCATCTCTTAAAAAAAAACAACATTACAGGTGCACACCACCATGCCTAGCCAGGCCTAGCTACTCAGAGACAGAGGAGCACTTGAGCCCAGGAGTTTGAGGTTGTAGTGAATTGCAGTCACATCACTGCACTCCAGCCTGAACAATGAGTGGAATAAGATTGTCTCCAAAAAAAAAAAAAAGAGAGAGAGAGAAAGTTTCATTACTTTTTTCACAGAGTGAGCAATAAAATTATACCATTGGGGATCTTTTTGATTATTGGTAGATTTCATATCACTTTGAGTCATTTTAGAAAGAGATTTTTTAGAAAGTCATATATTAAGGGACTGTTGGTATACTAGGTCATCTATACAGGAAGTCTTGAGAAAATGTACTTTGTAGGAAAAAAAAACAAAATGAAACTTAAAAACTGATATAACTTCTGAAATATTTGGAGGTCATGGAAGAAGAAAAGTTTATATCTATTTTAAATTGAAATAACAAGTTCATATGCTTTCATATGAAATACTGAGTTTTTGGTTCTGGCATTGTTTGAGCGTAGGCCATTGGCCATATTGAAGAGGAGTTCCTGTGTGATCTGAGGGCACTCTTCTCTACCTTTTCAAATGTTTTGTAATTCATAGGTTTTATGACTCTTCCATAAGTGCTATTTGCTGAAGGTCAGAATTGTAAAGTGTCATTATATTTTGATAAGTATATTTGAAAAATAATCCAAAAATTGTTCTTCTCTTCCACAGGACTTAAATACAATTTATTCTTATCTACATGGAATGGAAATATTATCAAATCTCAGGGAGCATCAGCTTAGGTAAGTGTGGTGCTTTTTTTTAAGAGGATGCACTGTGTACTCATTCATTTATTTATTCATATTTAAGTGCCTTTATATTATATTTATATATTTATATTTCTATTTAAGTGCCTTTTTTATTCCTTATACTGTTGTAAGTACTTGGAATATACAATACAGATTCGATTTCTAATATCCTGGAATTTATATTCTTGGTGGGGGTGATTTCAGGTTTGGGGAATAATACTGACAATAAAAGATATATATAATATCCAGTACTGATAATCACTGTGAGTACAGTGAAGCATGGTGAACTGAAATAAACTGGTAGCTACTTGACTTAGGATGTTCAGCAAAGCCCTCTCAGAGGAAGTAAGTTTTGAGTTACAAGGAGGAGCTAAGTCAAGAAAGAGGGCTTTGATGGCTGGAGCATAGTGGAACGAGAGGTAGAGAGTTGTAGTAAATTAGTGTGGATAGGTAGTACTTGCCCAGGCCAAGTCATTTAGGGACTTTTGTAGGATAGGCAGAGGAATTTTCATTTCTTGTTTCATTTTTTTTTTTTTTTTTAGTCATGAGACGTTAAGTAAGTCTTAACATTTAGCTGCAGTTTTGTCTTCAACAAAATAGTGATAATAATGGTATCTTCATTGCATATTTTGAGGATTAAGTGAGAATAAGTACCTAAAACAAAGCACAGTGCTTAGTATGTGCTAGTAGTGAAATCTGTATTCTTTTGGTAGTTTGTATTGATACTTTATTATGCCAAAGTGTTAAGCTGAACATGGTATGTTTATTGTAGTGTTGTATTAAAGTGCAAGGAGCAGGACTCTTGATTGGGCATAAGCTCTTGTGGATAAGATCCATATACTTTATGAACCTCATTTTTTCCTTCTGTAAAATGGGATATCTATTCTGTTTATCTTACATCATAGTGATTATATTTGTACAAACACTTTTAGAGCAGCAATCCCCAACCTTTTTGGCATCAGGGACCTGTTTCATGGAAGATGATTTTTACCCAGAGGGGGTGTGGGGGACAATTTTGGGATGATTCAAGCGCATTACATTTATTGTGTATTTTATTTCTATTATTATTACATTGTAATATATGAGAAGCTACTGCTGCTGCTGATCTGACAAAAGGCAGAGCTCAGGTGGTAATGCAAGTGATGGGAAGCAGCTGTAAATACAAGTGAAGCTTTGCTCACTCTCCTGCCGTTCACTTCCTGCTGTGAGGCCTGGTTCCTAACAGGCCACAACCGGTATCAGTCAGTGACCTTGGGGATTGGGGACCCCTGCTTTAGAGTGCTGCAAAACACTAACTGTTAAAACTTCTGTATCACATTTTAATTAAAAATGTTTTCCCACCATGACCAGCTTATCCAGTCAGTTGTCCTGGGTGTTTTTCAGGCTTCAGTTATGGACCAGATTGCTAAAATATAATTGTTTGGGATTTATTATATTCTGTTTTCTGTGTAACACAAATCAGCTGTTAATATATGTCAAATAAGTATATCAGGAAGAAAAAAGAAAATTGAATTTTAGCTTTTAGTTGTACAAAAGTATCTTTAAAATGCAGATTTATATATTTATTTAGCACATTATTTTTTGTATGTACATGCCTCTGCCAGTAACTGTCCTTTACTTTTACACAATTCTTCACTACTGAGGATTCCATAGTGAACTAGATAGATGTATAATTTTTCATAATAAAAAAGAACTTTTTTAGTGTGAGTTGAATGTTTTATGATGTACTTAAGAATATTATGGTTGATGCATTTTATATATCTCTAAACTCTTGTTAGTGAAAAGTTACGGGTAGTCTTGGTTGTTTTCTGTTGAGACAATTATAATATAACTTTGGAAACAAAATGTAAGACAAAATAATCTTCAAAATTTTTACCTTTTTAAAATATGTTAGATTGATGTCTGCAAGAGCACGCTATGAGAGATACAGTGGCAATCAGATTCTTTTTTGGTAAGTATTTCCATAATTCACTTAAATTAGTGACTTTTATGTTTAAATTTTAACTTTTAGCATTGAATTTTATTTAATTCTGAAGTAATTTATGTAAAGCAAAGTGAAATATATTCATAAGCTGTGAAGTATAACATACTTAGAATGTACAAGAAGTGTACAATGCGGTGAATGTTAATAAATAGATATACTGTATAGGTACTACCTAGGTGAAAATAAAAAAGCAGATCAGCTTTTCGGAAGGCGCTAATCAACTATCCTTTGGAAAAGTAATCACAATTCTAACTTCTGTCACTATAGATTAGTTTTGCCTCTTTTTGAACTTGCTATAGATAGAATCTTTGGTCAGGCTTTTTCACTTAACAAATGTCCAAAATTCTTCTCTGTTTTTGCTTGTTGTTTTTCACTGCTATATAGTCTCAATTGTATGAAAATAACAATTCATTTAGCCATTCTACTGTTGTTAGATATTTGGGTTAGTTCTAGTTTTTACTATTGAGAAAAAGTTTCTGTGAACTTTTTATTCATTTTTTTTGTGACTTTATGACTCATTCCTGTTGAGCATATTCCTAGGAGCAGAACTATAGCCATGTGTCACCTGTATGTGATCAACAGTAAACTACATATTCATGATGAGGATTTTGTAAGCATATAATACTGTATTTTTACTGTACATTTTTTGCATTTAGATATACAAATACCATGTTACAATTACCTACAGTATTCAATACAGTAATATGGTGTACAGTTTTGTAGCTTAGAAGAAATAGGTTATACCCTATAGTCTAGGTTTGTTACTACAAACTACTGTCATCTAGGTTTGTAAAATTATACTCTATGATACATGACAAAATCACCTAACAACACAGTTCTCAGAAAATCTCTCTATTGTTAAGTGATGCATGACTGTACTGGAAATTTGCATATTCAAATTTAAGAGATTCTGACAGTTTTCTAAAGCAGATTTATCAGTTTTAACCTATAGTATGTTCTATTTTGTTCTACATCTTTGACAACCTTTGATGTTTTGTTTGCTTGTTTTGAATTTTTGACATTCTGCTGATTATTTCATTATGTTATCTCATTGTGATTTTATTATGCATTTCCCTGTTTACTAATGATGAATGACTTCCATGGTTGGCTGTTTGTTTGGTTGTTTTTTTCATAGAGATAATCTCACTCTGTCACTCAGACTAGAGTGAGAACAGTGGCTTGATTATAACTCACTGCAGCCTTGAACTCCTGGGCTCAAGTGATCCTCCTGCCTCACTCTTCTGAGTAGCTGGGACTATAGGTGCATACCACCACATCAGCTATTTTTTTTAATTTTTTAAGTGATGGAGTCTCCTATGTTGCCCAGCGTGGTCTGAAACTCCTGGACTCAAGCAATCCTCCTGCCTCTGCTTCCCAAATTGCTGGGATTACAGGCATGAGCCAATTCACTTGGCCATTTTTGTTTTTAAGGGCCATTTTGGTGACCTCTTTTTTTTTTTTTTTTTTTTTTTTTTGAGTCAAAATCTCAGTCACCTAGGCTGGAGTGCAGTGGCACGGTCATGGCTCACCACAGTCTCAACCTCCTAGGGTCAGGCACTTATTCCATCTCAGCCTACTGAGTAGCTGGGATGTGCACCACCATTCCTGGCTAATTTTTTTCACTTTTTTGTAAAGGCAAAGTCTCACTATGTTGCCCAGGTGGTCTTGAACTCCTAGGCTCAAGCATTCCTCCTGCCTCAACCTCCCAAAGTGCTGAGATTACAGGCACAAGCCCACTGTGTCTGGCTGTGTGTTTGTCTTTAATGGTGAGGTGAGTCTCTTGTAGACATCATAGTTGGGTTTTGTTTTATTATCCAGTCAGCCACTGTGTATCTTTTAATTGGAGAATTCCATCCAATATACATTCAAGGTTATTATTATAGGTAAGGACTCATTTCTGCCTTTGTGTTAATGGTTTTCTAGTTGTTTTGTAGATTCTTTTTTCTCTTTTAGTGTTCACCTCTGTGGTATGTTGGTTTACTCTGACTAAACTTTGTTTCATTTTTCTTTGTGCATCTTTTGTCATTTTTATTTGTGGTTGCCATGGGGCCAGCATAAAGATTCTTGTAGTAGACTGATAACAGATGAACTTTGATTCCATAAAATTACTCTAGACTTTTTTCCTTTCCCCACAATTTATATTGTTGCTTTAGTTTATATATTTATCTATAATGTGTTCCTTAGCCAGTAATTGTAGCTGTTGTTGTGTTGACCACTTTAACTTTCAGCCTTCATACTAGAGAACTGAAAGGTTTACATAATTCTATTACAGAATTCTGAATATGCTTATAAATTTACCTATACTTATGAGTTTTATACTTTCACATGTTTTCATGATAGTAATTATTGTCCTTTTGTTTGTAGTTATATCACTTCCACAAGCATTTCTTTTAAGACCAGTCTAATGGTGATGGATTTCCTTAGCTTTTGCTTCTCTGAGGTCTTTATTTCACCTTCATTTCTAAAGGATAGCTTACTCTGTTGCCTGGGCTGGAGTGCAGTGGCACGGATCACAGCTCATTGTAGCCTGGGCTTCCTGGGCTCAGGTGATCCTTCTGTCTTAGCCTTCCTAATAGCTGATACTGCAAGCGCACACCACCACACCTGGCTGATTTTTTTATTTTTGTAGAGATATGGTCTCGCTTTGCTGCCTAGGCTGGTCTGGAACTTCTGGACTCAAGCAATTCTCCCGCCTTGATCTCCTAAAGTACTGAGATTACAAGTGTGAGCCACTGCACCAGGCCATAGTTACTTTTTTATTTTATTTTAGCATTTATATCATCCCATCTTTTATGGCCTGCAAGGTTTCTGCTGTCAATCTAATGAGTATTACCTTATATGTGACTGGATGCTTTTTTCTTGCTGCTCTGTATCTGAGTTTTGACAGATTATAATCTGCCTCAGAGAGTATCTTTTTGTATTGAATCTAATTGGGAACTTCTAAGCTTACTGGATTTGGATGTCTATATCTCTCTAGACTTGGAAATTTTTCACCTGTTATTTATTAAATAGGCTTTCTGTGCCTTTCTCAATTTATTCTCCCCCAGCACCCTTGTAATGCAAAAATTTGTACACCTAGTGGTGTCCAATAAGTTTCATAGGTTTTCTTCATTTTACCGAATTTTTATTTCTTTTTTTCCCTTCTGAAGACCGATCTTCAAGTTCAGAAGTTCTTTCTTCTACTCAATCTAACCTGTTGTTGAAGTTCTCAGTTGCATTTTTTATTTTATTCATTGAATTCTTCAACTCCAAGATTCTTGTTTTTTTAATCTTTTTCCTCTTTGTTGAGTTTCTCATTCAGATCATGAATTGTTTATCTGATTTGATTGAATTAATTATATTCTTATATATCTCACTTAGTTTCCTTAAGATTGTTGTTTTAAGTTTCCTTTTAGGACATTTCATAAATATTTTATTGAGGTCTGTTACTAGAGACTTACTGTGTTCCTTGGTGTCATTTTTTTCTTGTTTTTTCATCTCATGTCTGTATGTTGATGTCTACATCTAGTGGAACAGTCACTTTTTTTTCCTATTTTATGGTGTAGCTTTCATAGGGAGAGATTTTTTTTCTTTTCCTTGTAGATGGTACCAAGGTGTCCGTTTTTACCCAACATTGACTTTGGCTGTGAGTGGACTCAGTAGCATGGTGTCAGTGCAGTTACTTCAGCTTATAATTGTCAGCAGTTGCCTCAGTTACCTAGTCTGCAAGAATTTGTGGCTGTGGTGTTGCAGTTTTGCTAAGGGAAAGGGTACCAGGCTGGTCCAGCAGTGTGTGGTTTCTCCAGTGAGGCATAGCCGTCCTTGGACTGGCCATTGGGCTGGGCATAGGCAGACTGGTGGGTTGGGCACAGGCAGACCGGCTGGTAGTGTGGGGAGTCTTCAGGGAAAGGGACCTTTACCCAACTGGTCATCTGGGCAGCCAGCTGTTCAGCAGTTTCTCTTCTGTGCACATCTGTTGTTCCCAGGTGGAAGGAGGGCGTTGCTGCATGAATTTGGACTCTTGGTTGTTTCTTCCAGCCTAGGTTCCATGTGGCTGGTGTCATGATGCTGCCAGTACCCATGTGAATGTGGTAAAATGACAATGGGACCTCAAGCGTGAAGAGAGAGGTGTTGCTACTGGCCAGCAAGGCAGTGAATCCAGTTTAAAGATGGCTTTGGGTCACAGCAACCTAGGCGACAGAGATAGGGAGTGCACAACATGGGCTCCTACTCTGGACTAGTGCTGCTGTGTAAGCTCTCACCATTCTCTAGACTGGGTTTGGTATCTGTGAGGACTGGGTTCTCTCCTGTAGCAAGGACTTCTGGTATCTTTGATGACGGTAGGGACTGCTTGGTGTCTCCAGGTTACCATTTCCCTACATAAAGTCGTCCCCCTTTGACGATGAGCTGATCTCAGTTGTGGAGACAGGAAGTCCCCCTTGACTTTGAACTAATCCTAGTTGTGGAGACATAACAATGCCTTTGTTCTCTTCTCTATTGTGCTGTCCTGGGCTTCTGTGCTTTTCAAAGATTTTGCCACTCTTCTGGTGCTCTCCAGTGTACTTTCTTAAAAGTCTCTGCAATCAAAATAGAGTTGTTTATTCATTGTTTTGGTCCCTTTTTGTGGCAGGGGCAGGGTTTTAGACAAGCACTTGGCTACTCTAGTTGGTCATCTTGCTGACATCAGTCCCCAATCCTGATAATTTTTTATTGTATGTCAGACACTGTATGAAAAGTCATAGATGTGTAATGTCTTCCTCTAGGAAGTATTTAGATATTTTTTGTTTTGTTTTGACAGAGTATAGGCAGATAATCTTTTTTTTTTTTTTTTTTTTTTTTGAGTTGGAGTTTCACTCTGTTGCACAGGCTAGAGTGCAGCACACTCACAGCCACTGCAGCTTCCACCTGCTGGGCTCAGGCAATCCTTCTGCCTCAGCCTTTCAAGTAGCTGGAACTATAGGTGCTCACCACCACACATGGATATTTTT